ATGTTGTCCCAGAGGTCTCTGAGACTGTCCTCAATTCTTTTCATTCTTTTTTCTTTATTCTGCTCTGCACTAGTTATTTCCACTCTTTTATCTTCCAGGTCACTTACCTGTTTTGCCTCAGTTAACCTGCTATTGATTCCTTCTAGAGAATTTTAAATTTCATTTATTCTGCTGTTCATCATTGTTTGCTCTTTAGTTCTTCTAGTTCCTTGTTAAACGTTTCTTGTATTTTCTCCATTCTATTTCCAAGATTTTGAATCATCTTTGCTATCATTATGCTGAATTCTTTTTCAGGTAGATTTCCTCTTCGTTTGTTTGGTCTGGTGGGTTTTACCTTGCTTCTTCATCTGCTCTGTGTTTCTCTGTCTTCTCATTTTGCTCAATTTACTGTGTTTGGGGGTCTCCTTTTCACAGGCTGCAGGTTTGTAGTTTCCGTTGTTTTTGGTCTCTGCCCCCATTCGCTAAGTTTGGTTCAGTGGGTTGTGTAAGCTTCCTGGTGGAGGGGACTGGTGCCTGTTTTCTGTTGGATGAGGCTGGATCTTGTCTTTCTGGTGGGCAGAAGTACATCTGGTGATGTGTTTTGGGGTGTCTGTGAACTTATTATGATTTTAGGCAGCCTCTCTGCTAATGGGTGGTGGTGTTTTCCTGTCTTGCTAGTTGTTTGGCATGGGTTGTCCAGCACTGGAGCTTGCTGGTCGTTGAGTGGAGCTGGGTCTTAGTGTTGAGATGGAGATCTCTGGGAGAGCTCTCGCTGATTTATATTATGTGGGACCAGGGTGTCTCTGATGGACCAATGTCTTGAACTCGGCTCTCCCACCTTAGAGGCACAGGTCTGACACCTGCTCAGAGCACCAAGACCCTGTCAGCCTCACGGCTGCTAGTTTTGGAGGGTCTCCTGCATGGGTGGGGGGCAGTTGTTGCTCACCACAGGGACACGGACACTGGCAGCAGAAGTACTGGGAAGTAGTCCTTGGCTTTAGCCTTCCTGGAGTCTGTCATTTTCCCCACCAAAAAAAACCTGTCTTTTTTCCATTGTGTATTCTTACCTCCCTGGTCTGTAGATCAATTGACCATAGGTGCATTGGTTTATTTCTGAGTTCTCTGTTCTTTTCCATTGATCTATTTGTCTGTTTTTTTGCCAGTACAGAGCTGTGTTGGTTATTGTAGCTTTTGAGTATAGTTTGAAGTCTGGAAGTATTATACCTCCAGCTTTGTTCTTTTCCTTCAGGAGAGCTTTGGCAATTCTGGATCTTTTGTGTTTGCATGTAACTTTTAGGTTTATGTGTTAGGTCTGTGAAAAGTGTCATAGGTATTTTGATGGAGATTGCATTAAATCTGTAGATTGCTTGGGAAGTATGGCCATTTTATCAGCATATAGGTCTTTCACCTCCTTGGTTAAGTTATTCCTAGGTTTTTTTTGTTTTGGATTTTTTGTTTTCGACATGGTTTTATATGGGCCTTTTAAAATTTTTTTCTGATATTTCATTATTAGTGTAAAGACATGCAGTAGATTTCTTTATATTAATCTCATATCCTGCTACCTTACTGAATTCATTATCAGTTCCAATAGTTTTTGTGTGGAGACTTTAGGGTTCTCTACGTAGAGTACCATGTCATCTGCAAATAGTGACAGTTCTAATTCTTCACTTCCAATCTGGATACCTTTTATTTCTTTTTCTTGTCTGATTGCTGTGGTAGGACTTCTAATAGTATGTTGAATGGAAGTGGTAAGAGTAGGCATCAGTGGCTCGTTCCTGAATTTAGCTGGAAGGCTTTGAGCTTTTCACCCTTGAATATTCTGTTGGCTGTGGGTTTGTCATAAATGCCCTTTATTATGGTGAGATGTTTTCACTTTGTGAGTTTTTATCATGAGTAGATGTTGAATTTTTTCAAATGCTTTTTCTGCATCTATTGAGATGATCATGTGTTGTCTTTCCTTTTGTTAATGTGGTGTATCACATTGATTTGCATATGTTGAACCATCCTTGTGACTGTGGTATGAATCCCACTTGATCATGGTGCATGATCCTTTGAAGGTATTGTTGGATTCGGTTTGCTAATATTTTGTTGAGGCTTTTGCATCCTATATTTGTTAGAAATATTGGCCAGTAATTTTCTTATTTTATAGTGTCTTTTTCTGGCTTTGGTATCAGGGTGATGGTGGCCTCATAGAATGAATTTGGGAGAGTTCCCTCCTCTTTGAGAAGGATAGGTATGAGTTCTTCTTTCTGTGTTTGGTAGAATTCCCTGGTGAATCCATTTGGTCCTGGACTTCTGTTTGCAGGGAGTTTTTTTTTTTTAATTAGAGATTCTATTTCACTTTTAGTGATTGGTCTGTTCAAATTATCTGTTTCCTCTTGACTCAGTTTTGGCAGGCTGTGTTTCTAGAACCTTGTCCGTTTCTTCTAGTTTGTCCAATTTGTTGGCATATAACTGTTCGTAGTATTTGGTATCAGTTGTTATATCTCTTCATTTCGTATTTTGTTTGGGTCCTCTTTTTCTTGGGGAACCTGGCTTGAGGTTTGTTGATTTTGTTCGTCTTTTAAAAAAACCACCTCTTGGTTTTATTGATATTTTGTATTTTTGTTTGACCTCTTTTATTTATTTCCTCTCATCTTGATTATTTCCTGCCTTCTGTTGACTTTGGGTTTTGTTTGTTCTTTTCCTAATTATTTTAGCTGGTACGTTAGGTTGTTAAGGATTTTTCTTTCTTGAGGAAGGCCTATATCCCTATGAACTTCCCTCTTAGAACTGCTTTTGTTGCATCCCATAGATCTTGTAAAGTTGTGTTTTTTTCATTTCTGTTTGTCTTGGTATTTTCTGATTTCTTTGATTTCATCATTCATCCACTGGTTTTTTAGTGCATGTTTTTTTATTCTCCTTTTCCTGTTTTTGTCTCTGTGGTTGATTTCTCGTTTCATACCATTTTCAGTAAAAAAAAGATACTTGAAATAATTTCTGTCCTCTTAAATTTGTTGTGGCTTGTTTTGTGACCTTATGGTCTAGCCTAGAGAACATTCCACGCATGCTTGAAAAGAATGTGTATTCTGGGTTTTTTGGATGTAGCATCCTGTAGAAATCAATTAAGTCCAACTGGTATATTGTGTCATTTAGTACCTCTGTTGCCTTACTGATTTCCGGTCTGGATGAGCTGTCCTTTGATGTCAGTGGGCTGTTAAAGTCTCCTAGCATTATAGTCAACTTCTCCTTTTATGTCTGTTAGTATTTGTTTTATATATTTTACTTAACTGTTTCTTCTAAATTCATAGAGGCAGAAAGTTATCTACTGTGGTCTTCTTGAAGGATTGTTTCCTTGAAGGATTGTTTCTATGTGGGGACATTTCTGTGTAAACTGTATCCAGTGTCTTTGGTGCAAGGGATGGTTTTAGTATGGATGACAGCCATGTCTTGCCTCTGGGTGTGCTGGCCATTATCCCCTTAATAGGGGATGTGGTTGGTGTTGGAGTATCTAAAGCCTGTGCAGGGTGTGAGGCAGGGCTTTCTCTCTGCTGTTGCTGTCACCGCCCTGTCAAGGGTGGGGTCTATTTCACAGTTGTTGTAGAAGCCCAGAGGGTTGGGTTAGATCAGGCTTCTTTGCCCTTGAGTGTGTGCCCTGCCCCAAGGAGGTGATTGCTGAAGCAAGTGAGGCCCAGTGCAGTCAGAGAGTACCTATGCACTGCCTGTGTAGGTGTTTGTGGTTCTGCTTAGAAGCAGCCCAAGGCTACATGTTTTCCTCTACTGTATTTGTCCCGGATCTAGTGCAAAGGTATGGCATGGAGGAGTGTTGTGACTGCAGGAATTGAGGTGGCTGCACTGCTGCCTGAGATCTGGGCTGCCTCTGTGGCAGTCTTCTCTTAGAATCTAGCACTAAGCTGCAGTGTGGACTGGACATTCCAGGGCACTCTCGCTAGGAGACAAACCACTGTGTTCCTGAGTGCTCTGACAAGGGCTGCCCCTGCCCCACCCGGATCATGCTCTAGGCACCCTGTTCTGTCTCTGCATCGCTAGACCAAGTCTTTTCCCAGTGTTCGGTTGGCCCAGATCTCTCAGTCTGTGGTGTGGAGTGACCAGGGCCGGGGGTGTACACCCCTTCGGATTGGGAAGTGCAATGAGGCAGCACCCACCAGTGCAAGGCTCCCTCCACCCTGATGAGTGGGAAGCCAGCACACGTACTCCTCCTGGGTAGAGTCTAGGTTTCTCCAGCCCTTCTCTCTGCCCCAGTGGATTTCCTAGCAGGCAAGGGCACTTCTCACCCCTGTGCAGGACCCCAGGACTGGAATTCAGGATTGTGGCCTAACCTGCTTGCTCCCCAATGCCAGGGTCCACCCATGCAAACCTTCTCTTCCTTACATATTCCTCCCAGGGGCACAGGTCCTGACCTGATGTGTTTTATTTTCTGTTGTACCTGGTTTTGTAGAGATCTTCCTTGCAGCTTTGGTTGTACAGTTCTTCTGCCAGGTTACAGTTAGTTTTCCATGAGAACTGTTCCACATGTAGATGTTTTTTGATGTGTTTGTGTGGGGAGGTGAGCTCCACATCCTCCTCCGCTGCCATCTTGATCCCCCTCTCCTTATTTTTTTTTGATTGTAAAATTTTGAGTATATTTGAGAGTATCCATTTTTTCCAGGAGGGGTAGTTGATTGCAGTTAATCTATCAAAAGAGAATTTCTAGTTATTTTAAGCAAACTAGTCCTAAATACTTTTTTTTTTACTATTGATTATGAGAATAGTCAGTTGAAAAAGTTTTTACAATCCTTTCAAAAAGTATAAAAGTTCCAGGAGAGCTTAGTCATTAGAAAAGCAAAAGTAAGAAATATTTAAGTCTTGTTATTTTATGCCTTTAAATTTATAGTATAGTCAACATTAATATATAGTTCAGTTTTTAAATTCTCATGAGAAAAGGGTATTTACCATGCTTTTGGATATTTTATATATTTATGGTACATTTAGAACTTTATCTGCATTAAGATACTTCAGCAATTTGTTATTGTTTACAGCAGAACTATTCACTGGCTGAACTTGATGAGAAAATTAGTGCCCTCAAGCAAGCTCTGCTCAGAAAATCAAGAGAAGCAGAATCTATGGTGACGCATCACCTTCCATGAAAAACTCCTCTGTTGTCAGTCATTTTACTTTTTTAGATATGTGTGTATAACTTACTTACATAGCCATTTAATTAATTGCAGTGTATTAATGTAGACTTCCCTCTGAAAGCAAGGTTTATTTTCATGTGAGTCCACTTTGCAGCAAGCAATCTTCAAATATTCCAGTGTACTTTAAAATAGTTAATGCATTGAAAATAGCAATGTTGGAATTTATTCCCTTCTGTTTTAAAGGAGGTATTTTGGAAATTGAAAAACTTAATTTGAAAGTACATCTTCATGTGTATGTGTGTGTTTACCACAGAAAGGAAGATTTATTTTGAATAGTGATATTTAAGAAGACTTTATATTTGTAACATTGATACTAACCAGTTTTAGTTTAAACCAGTACTTTGTACATAATAGGCATTCAATAAAAATTTGAAGTGAGTTTTAAATGATGCATATATTCTTTTCCAAGTGTCAGTTTAATCTAAATAGTAGATCATACCTTTTATCCCCTTAGACTGTGTGACCTTAACAAGTTACTTAATCTATTTCCTTATCTGTAAAATGTAGGATAATATTGAAATCATACATGTACAGCTTTTGAAACTGGCCTAAAAGAAGTGCTTAGTAAACGTTAGCTATTATTACTATTGACTAAAACCAAGTGTGTCTTTGGAAAGTTGTTACAACTTATATAGTCCCTCTCCCTTGAGAGCCTCACCTTTTTGGAGTGCCCCAGTTTTATATTAGGCAGTACATATATTTCCATAGTTGCAAACTAAACATTTAAAAGATGCAGCTACTACTCACACACTTATGGTCAATTAATCTATGACTGACATAGGAGGCAAGAATATACAACAGAGAAAAGACAGTCTCTTCAACAAGTGGTGCTGGGAAAACTGGACAGCTACATGGAAAAGAATGAAATTAGAACATTCCCTCACGCAATATACAAAAGTAAACTCAAAATGGTTAAAAGGCCTAAATATAAGACATGAAACCATAAAACTCCTCTGAGAACATAGGTGAAACAGTCTTTGACATAAATTGTAGCAATATTTTCTTGGATCAGTCTCCCAATACAGAAGAAATAAAAGCGAAAATAAACACATGGGACCTAATTAAACTTGTAAGTTTTGCATAGCAAAGAAAGCCATCAACAAAAAGACAACATACAGAATGGGAGAAGATACTTGCAAACGATGCGACTGACAAGGGGTTAATATTCAAACTATTTAAACAGCTCATAGAACTCTATCAAAAAAACCCAATCCAATCAAAAAATGGGCAGAAGACTTGAATAGACATTTTTCCGAAGGCAGAGATGGGTAACAGGCACATGAAAAGATACTCAACATCATTTCTCAGCTAACTACCAGAGAAATGCAAATCAAAACTACAATGAGGTATCACTTTACACCGGTCAGAATGGCCAGCATCAAAAAATCTACAAACAATAAATGATGGAGAGGGTGTGGAGAAAAGGGAACCCTCATACACTGTTGGTTGGGATGTAAATTGGTGCAGCACTGGGGAGGTTCCTTAAAAAACTAAAAATAGAACTGCCATATGATCCAGTAATTCCTCTCCTGGGTATATATCCAGAGGAAACAGAAACACTAATTTAAAAAGATTCATGCACCCTAATGATTATAGCAGCACTATTTACAATAGCCCAAAATGGAACCAACCTAAGTGCCCATCAACAGATGATTGGCTTAAGAAGATGTGGTAGATATACACAGTGGACTATGACCTGGCCATAAAAATGAAATAACTGCCATTTGCAGCAACACGGGTGGACCTAGAGAATATCATGCTTAGTGAAGTCGAACAGAGAAAGACAACTACTCATGACATCGCTTACATGTGGAATCTAAAAAAATACAAATGAATGTAATATGCAAAACACAAACAGACTCACAGACCTAGAAAACACCTGCCGTCATCAAAGGTGAGGGGGAAGTGAGGAGGGACAAATTAGGGGTATGGCATTAACAGAAACTATGTGTAAAATAGATAAGCAACAAGGATTTACTGTATAGCACAGGGAATTATACCCACTATCTTGTAATAATCTATATTGGAATATAATCTGCAAAAATAATCACTTCTGTACACCTGGAACACAATATTATAAATCCACTATACTGCAGTAAAAAAAAAAGTTTTTTTTAAAGCAGGTATAATCAAGGAGCAGATGTTTAGCTCAATAATTGTTTGGTTGCAAGAATCAGAAATCTACCTAAAATAGCTTGTAAAGCAGAATTGTTAAAAAGCATCAGAAATCTGGAATTTAATTGCAGGAAGTATAGCTTGACAGTGTGGCATCCAGAAGGTTACCAGTGGTTCGGTTTGTCTCTTTCTCTGTGTCTCTAGCTGCCTCTGGCTCTGTCTAGTTCTGTCTCTGTCCCCTACCCTCCTTGTTTTCTGCTCTCCCTCTCCCTCTGTGTCTCTTTGCCTCTGTCTTCCTCATTCTTTTTCTCTTACACATAAGCATCTATGCATCTGCTTTATTCTCTCTCTGTGAACTGGTTTCTCTGAAGGCCTCTTCATTTCTGCTTCCTCACATGGGTGACATGTTAGCCCTGTCTCCATCACCTTGGCTTGTTCATGCCTTTGAACTTCCATGGTGCACACTCTGAACCCAGCTCTATAGAGCCTCGCAACTCCATTGACCCTTGCTTGCTTACCTGTCTTTGTATCTTAGTTCAAGTCCTTCAGAGACTGAATCTCAATGTCATCAGGGGTCTCAGTCAGTTGTGGCCAGGATGATGGGGCAGGACCTCTTCATAGGAATATATACTGTACACACAGTCTTGTACCATGTTTGTGGAATCCTTGAAAATGGGGTCACCTGGTAAAAAAAAAAATGGGACTTTAAAATCATTCCCAAGAACGGCATGTGGACAAGTTGTTTCCACTAATGTCTTACCACTATATTTCTTCTCTGCAGAACAAACTTATCCTTCAAGATAATCTTGCCTAATGTCATCCAGTATTATAGGTACAGCAACAAATGTCTGCCTTCAGTCTCTATCCAGTGCTTGTAACCACTATCCTGATAGAATGACCTCTGGGTTTATTGGCACATTGTACTACGATCACATCAGCAATACAGTAGGAAAAACCTCAACAAAAATTATCGATTAGAAAAGGAGGATGACTTAGAGGTGGGGAAGAAACCTAGAAAACAGGATCATATACTGGTCACTAGTCTGCCCCTAAATAAATACCACAAATCTGTTTCTTGGCTGTTAGCAGTAGAATATGTTCCTAAGTCATGTCTGACAGTCCTAGGATCTGGCCATTAGAAGGATTTCCTTTTTCTGTTATCCTTCAGACTTACTCTTCTGAAGGACATTAGAGAGTCCTCCTCTCTACAGTAAGTAATGTCTGGTGCCAGCATCATTTTCTGCTTGAGTCGGAGCCTCCAGAAGAGGCCGTTGGCGTGAGTTGGTGTAGTTGCTTGTTTAAGACAGGTTCTTCTGGTGATAACTACCCAGTATTTCAGTGGGCTTTCAATCATTGTCTTTCTTGAGTGCATCACTGACTAAAAGGTGATGCCAAGAATTTCTGGGGTGGGCCGGGGGAGCGAATAAGCTTGCTCTCTTAATCACCAGGCCACCTAATGACCATTCCTTCAGGACTTTTGTTATTCAGCTCTTCTCAGACCCCATTATTCTTAATGGCTCTGTCCTCAAGAGAATAAAGGAGGAAAGGTGACTTGAAAGAGGATTGTAGGACAGGAAGCACTTCTTCCCTAGACTGCCCTTAAAAATCCCTCCCCTCCACAGGTTACATTCCAATCTAGGGACGTGTTTTACTAGGGTTTGGAAATTGGGGGCTGGGGGTGATAGGCATGTTCATCCTGTGGAAAAGGGCTGAGCTTCCCCAACTAGTCCAGCTATCATCCTTTCAACTGCTAGGCTCCTGAGCCCTGAGCTTTTCCAAATTCATGAATAATATCCGGATCTTACCTTCAACGATCTCAGCAGAAAAGAATTCCCTTTATGAAACATAGATATGTAATTTCCTGCTTTTTCCTATTTACTTTTAGCCCGACAACCTGGTACAGAAAACTCGTTGCCACTGACTTTTTAAATTATGTCCAAAGGGAATTAACACATTCCTACATTTCCACATTTGATTACTTAAATCTGAAGCTTTGGCTTTAGTGACATGTGGCTTGGGCCCAAGAGACTTTGGGCAGTTGTTTAAGTATTTTGCCACCTCTTACCTCTATGCCACCCGTTTTCTATGGAATTGGGAATTCTCTCTTTCACCCCTGCCTTCACCCCATCCCTCTGCCTTGACTCCATGGCTAGTTCTACATAGAGCCTATTACAATCCTATTCCTGGCACTGATTTCCGTTTTAGGGATTTCTTGTTTCCAAGAAACAGAAAACCAATTCTGACTTAAGTAAAGGGGTGTTGTTATAAAGAACGTGAATAATTCAAATTGCAGGAAGTTCAGCCAGGATTGGTTACCCTCTTGCCCGCACTGGGGCATGTTGTCTGGATTCTGCCTACCTGCTTCACTCTGTTTGTAGCTTGGCTTCTCTGAAAGATGTCTTCTTTCCTGCCTCTTTGCAGTTTGATTTTGCTCGAGACTTTGGGCTCCATGGTGCTGTTAGCTTAGACGTAAGCCCTTTGGTTCCGGTGTCCCGTGTTTGTTTCTTACGATTCAAAATCTGGAAAAAGAGGAACTCATATTCTCAACTTGGGTCAGCTGTCCACACTTGGGCCAGTTATCTTTGGCTTGAGTGTTAGGATCTAGAAGAACAAAAATAGCCAACTTGCCCAGCACTATGGGGAGAGAAAGCATGGGCTGGGAACTCTGCCCCTGTGATCTCTGCCGCTTTATAAAGTTTTTAGTTCTTTAAGAAGTACTGTTTTGCCTGTTACTTCAACTGAAAACGTTTTATGATTATTAACCCTAGAGATACCATCTGGGTCCACTGGACAAAATTTTCGTTTTTGTTTCGTTTTGAGCAACTATTTATAAGGATTGATTTCATGACTTTTACTTTTTCTTAATATTCTCCCAGGGATAAAGAGAAAATCTGCTTTTTAAAAATATAATAAAATTCATTATATCTTTCAATCCCTATGCATGTCCATTGGACCTTTTATAACTCTAAGATACATTATGGAATCTCAGTGACTTAATTTTATTCAATTTTTCCTACATCTTTTGAGATATTTCATTAGCTCAGGAATTATTTAATCATTACTAATTAATTATACCCATGTAATTATTTTACAATAAATGATCACTATTACTTCATCCTTAGTTTTCATATCGTATTGCTCCCAGTATTAACATCATCTTTTGAGAAGGTATAAAATTCTGGAAAGACACCAGCTTTTGAGTCTTTCTTTTTTTTTAAAAGGCTTTCAATGAGTAGTACAGTTGAGAGTTTAGAATTTTTCATTTTGACCATAATGGCAAGTAGGAGAACATTAACAGAGGAATTTTCACAATTATTAAGAGAATCAGAAGGTG